AAGAAAAATGGTCAATAGAACACCGACGAACAAACATTCAACAGTCTACAAATTACCACAGATAACAATAAAGACTGAGTAACACGAACCCAACTAAAACCCGGAGAGAATACTACATTATCTACTATTAACTAGTAGATAACATTTTCTGCCTAATTGCTTTTACAAGTATTGCATTGAGACGTGAAGTACCCTTTTGACAATTAACATTTAACTGCAATCAAATTTTTCTCCCTCCCTTCAAACAAAATCTATTGACTGAGCACTTTATTAATGTATGCTTTTATATTTACAGGCATACTGTATGCTTGGGGATGTTTTATTTTTCGGCAAGAGCTATCAACCTGCTCTACATTCGTATACAAACGCAATCGTGCTTCATGGCTACAGTCTTACTTTCCCAACTACAAATATATCAAGGATGGTAGAAATCTTAAAAAAAATTTGCCTTGTTTTTCTTCGTTTAAACAATGAAGGTGGTATGTATTTTTTAAATTAGAACTTTTGATTCAATAATAAAGATATTTTTTTTATTTATTTAGATTAGTAAAGGAGCTTAGGTACAACAGTTCTTTAATATATATTTATATATATCTGCATAGAGAGTCGATGATTTTGCACTACATTCGCGTAGCTACTTTCATTCACTTATCCATCCCACTTTTCATACCAAATTGTCTTAAAAAGTCTGCTAACATCTCTTTTAAATTGAACAAAATATATACTTTGCTTTATAAAAAGTCCTTGATCAACAAACAAAAACATATTCCCTTTCAACTTTTCTTGTCGTTCAGTTATCTCAATTTATCGTATGTATGTTTATAAAATTCCGAAATTTTACGTCAGTGCTTCTTTTCTAGTATGAAACAGGTTTGTTTCTTTATTTGTATTAGGCATATATCATACAAGAGCTAGTCCTAATTATTTAAGTTATATGACTATGTGGAAGGGGTATTGTTCCATTAAACTTGAAATAAAGAATACCACATATACAGTTAGGTCTGCTTCATGTGTTACATCTATAAATTGATAATGAAGTTAGAGTCAGTTCTTAACTGCAGAACAATAAACATTACTCAAATTTTACCCCACTATAGGAACATTTCAGCAACACCTGAATATAGAGTATATATATATATATATTGATTTTGTCAGGTTTTAAGAACTTCACCCTTTTAAATTAACCTTGGAACTCGCATGCCCACCCTTTTCATATCAAATAATGCTGAACAGTAACTCGAACTTTTTTAATATCATACAACCCTCCTTGAAATCATTTTAAAAATGAACTGATTTTTCCCAAATGGTCACTTAGTTTTACCGTAGTTTTACCTCATCAAGTAATGTGACAACCATATCAAAGAATGACAAACCACATGTTAAATAATATTGAAATCATATTTAGTAATGACAAAACCATATTAAGTAATGAAAAAAATAATAATTAAGTAATGACAAAACCATATTAAGTAATGACAAAACCACATTTTTTAGCTGAGTTTTCAACTGCATTCATCAGTAATCTGAAGTTTTCTTCCATTTAATGGGCTGGGGAATTCAGTTATTCGGGCATTTGGCTAATTTATCTGTTAATTGTTTACGATGTCAAGGTCTCCAATAATAACATGACCAATGGGACTTTTCCAATTATAACATGACAAGTGGGATTATATTTGTATTGGGACGATGAACAAGAGCAATTGGGATGCTTGAATTTTACATGCTTGAGTGTAGAGGTCTCAAATGCGTCTTTGTGACTGAAATCCTTGATGCAATAGATTTGGTGTTGATATATCAAATGACAGGTGCAGTTTATATTTGAAATAATCAGGAATTAATAACAGCACAAACTTCGTTTTCGTTTTTCTAATAAGACAAAATAAATTGTTTCTAAATTATAATGAAAATTTCAATATTTCAGCGTCGACTGACATACAAACATTGATTCCGTTTCCAGTGGGATTTGATATCTGGGTATATGTCTTGCATAGTTTTATATTAGAAAGAGAACTGGAGGCAGCGAAATACATCGCAAATTTCATGCGAACTCTAGATGCTATTTATATACATCTGGATTTTGACCTTGAACCGCTCTGTGGCATGGAATTGCTAGAGAAGTTTCCTGAATGTATGTTTTTCATTGCTTACCTGATACTGTGTGGCTGTCAATATACAAATTTATCGACACAACAAGACGACACTTTTATCAACGCAGCAGTTAGAATGACTTGCTTTACTGGTAAGCTGTTTCCTTATCAATTGGTTCAGATGTATTTATCGCCAAATTAACTCCCGTATTATCAGCCATATTGAAATATATAGATAAACTGATTCAATGAAAATGCTGATTTAAAACATATAGAAAAATTGAAGTGAATTATAAATGAACATATAACATTTTTCTTCGTCCATCTCGTATGTTTGCCATTACTACTATTTTGACTTATTTGTTCTAAAATATCAATCGCACAGTTCAATCTGATTGAAATACAGATAATTTGTTCACGTCTCGATTATAAGTATCTGATATGATATTGCTTTCTAAATTTTTTGAAAATCTGTTCGGGATCGTTGGGTTTTGCCGTTTTGATACACTTCCCAACAAATTCGTCCGCCGAATTTTCATTGGTTGTCGTAATAATTTTCAGAACAGAAAAGAGAACGGAGCGTTGTCAGATCCTCACAAGCGAAGCGTAGATACAGACAAGATGTATAAGAATGAGACCATTAGGCAATGGTCCTGTCCTTAATTTTATTATATGATTATGTAAATTTGTTTGTATTAGAAGTTGCTTCTACCATTTTCGATATTTTAACAAAGGAGTCAATCTTATAAAGTGGAGCGTTAAATGCATCTTACCCTGGTCGAAAAAAACCCTGTCATAAAAAAGTCAACAACAAAGAAAAGAAAATAAGTAATGTTGCTTGTTATAAAAAAGATAATTTGAAATTATTGACTATTTGAAGGTGTTGGGTAATTTTTGAATGCATTGTCCATGTAACAGAAAGAGAAGTAAGAAAATATAACGGAAAAGTTTTAAACGTGAGGAACATCAGTAAAAGTAGCTAACATTTCTATAAATATAAAAATATAATCCAGTAATTGTTGTTGTCTTTATTCCAAATTACTTTTCTTTCGTATTTTTCTATCGACTTTGACAAGGTCACTATTGAATTTTATAACTTTGTTTTAATCAGAGCCATTTATAGCATAGCATATTTTGCAGTTTTGTTCTTTGTATAAATCTGTTGGCAATACTGTTGGAAGTTTTGTTTGTTTGTCACTTTTTTGTCCGTTGGTAATATAGATGTTCATGTGTATCATACAACAAAATTACAAGTGTTGATGATGATTTTGACTTATTTTGTGCCTGAACTAATTGAAGAACTAAAATGATATCTTTGTTTATGGCATATATCTTAATGTTGACTATCTTTACAGTATGTATCTTTTCATAAAAGGTGTTCCAAACGTGCTTAAAGTCGTATGTCATCAATTACAAACTGGAGAAAATAGCAGCATTACAGACTGTAAAGGAAATTCTGGTCTTCATGTTGCAGCTGCACAAAAAATAGAAAAACCTAAAATAGGAAGGAATGAGGTTATCGAAATTCTGATTACAACTAATATCAACCCGTATCTAAAAAATAATGATGGCAAGCTTGCCATTGATCTTCTTCCTAAAGACGACAAAAGATCAAGGAAAGTCCTTCAGAAGCATATGATAAAAATGACTGCTTTTGAAGGTTCGTAAAGAATACCTTCTTTAAGTCAAGATTCTAAATTTAAGTACTTAGTTCTGATAGTAATAGTTTAACTCCATTCTTAAGACAATGTCGTATTAGAATTCAAGGAAGAAAGCTCTTGAGTTTTTGTAGAATTATTGTTTTTTTTTTCAAGCGTACAGTTTAATCTGAAAAGAGTCAGTTTCTAAGTAAATACTTTTGTGTAAAGTGCATGTTAACTTTTGCATAGTCATACATCTATATACATTTATGAATAAAAATCGATGTTGTATTTTATCAAATTATATTCAGAATAGCATACTATCATATTCGAAAATATCCACCAGCAACACAAATAAAGTCAGAATTTTTTCCATAAGAATTGATAATTTCGTCATAGTTTTGTAAGTAACCAAAGATCCCAAAAGGGCAATCAAAAATCATAAGTTCAATGAAAACGGACATCATCATTCCATAAAAAAAGAAAAAAGGCGAAAAGACAAATAACAATAACAAATTCCTACACAAAAAAACTAAAAACTGAACAAGAAGACAAGACAAGACACTTGATTAGCCTCCAACACGACAAGAGGACCAGAGGTTATATATATAAACATAAACATACAACGTTGAAATTGTTACAACAAAAAAATCAAAAATAAACACCAAAAGAAGAAACAATGCAGATAAAAAATCATTTAGAAGTATGCATTGGTAGCAGGAAAAACACCTTAATAATTGAGACTACACTAGGGATTTACTCATGTACTTCGGAAAGGAAAACAGTTTCTGCTTCACCAGAGGCATCCGTTGTGTTACTCTTTGCAAGCAAAAATAAGATGATTCGCATATGGGTATGTCCCAATCATGGAAAAGAGAATGGGATTGGTGGTACGAAGAGTGATGTAATGACATGTCTCAGGTCTTTATCATAACTAACATTTTCATCATATGCATATTTTTCATTTGTCAGTATTTATATTTGTATATATAAGAACAAACCAGATCGCTATGGAACAAATATTCACAAGCAACACAAATCAAGTTTTAACTTAATGCATAAACAAATATCATTAAGAGATAGTTTTGTACACCTTGCTAAGGTCCATATCAGAACAAGCATTGTCATTCTTTGCAATTTTACTATATTTTCAATTTTTATGGTATATTCATAGATGTACAAAAACCAGACTATCATGGTAGGGAAAGTTCAAAAGCAACACAATTAAAGTCAGATGCAGCATTAAATTAAAAACAACAAACAGAAAATCAAATCCCAAAACACGAAGAACAAAATAATGAGGTTGAAGATAAATGCAAACCATGCCAGGATACGTTTAATAAATGCAAAACCATAATCGTAGAAGACCCATCACTCGCATTCAAAGATCTGTTAAGGCTTATTAAGTCAAAACACAGATATCCGAGGCACAAACAAATAGAAAAGGACTCAGTTTTAATGATTTCTGACTTCCTTGCTGAATCATCAGATTTCGGTAAGTAAACCTGTATCAGGATATTTTTTTATGAAAATCGGCTCTGGAAAGACAAAAATATTCCCATCCATTTTTTAAATAGAATGTAGCAAGTAAGACTATATAAAATGGGCATCAAGTCTGAATTGAAATTAAAAATTATTGGGGTAATAATAGTACGTTTACCCAGTCAGTACTATCAACTGCAAATTATTACTTTCGTCAATCCTTCATACAACATATTTCATTTTTCTCATTGAAAATCTGTGGAAATTGATATTTCACATTCCACATATCGTGTCTTACTGCTCTATTGGTGTAGCTGTATGAAATCAGCTCCAAAATGAAACCACCGATATCAAAGTACAGGATGGCGTGGTTCAATAACGCAGTGCAATTCCTTTCAATAACTGCAAAAATATTTTGTAAAGCTAGGTAATTAAGTTGCACAAACTGAAGGTTGTCGGATTGTTCTTATTGATCCATTCTCCTAATGGTGTAATTTACATCCTCTTAATTAATCTATTACTGGTCAGACTGTTCTTTGCAGCAATTCATTAAAGGAGCAATAAACGAAGAAAACTTTCAATTTGATGATGATTGTGCCAGTATTCCTAGATTTGTATTTAACATTTTTTTTTATTTAAACAAGAGTCTACTTTGTTTAATTTAGGGACTCAAATATAGACGGGTTTATCTATAATTGACCGAGAAAACATGGGCGCATCCATTAACCTCTCACGTGACCGATCAGCCATAACAACCGTGAAAAATAAAGCACGTGTATTGATCAAAACATTATCGACTTTCTGTTTACATTTGTATTTCTTTCATTTTCTGATTTATTTTACTATGGATACTGCCGAAAATTATAAAAAAGGTAGAGGCATTTCTTGTGCAGTTAATAGTTGTACAAATAATCGTAGATGTGGGAAACAATCAATATTTGAATTACACAACGAGTTGCACAATGACTGCCCTTGTTTGATTCCATATAACATGTATAAGTTTCATTTGATGCCTATTGACGAGCCAACAAAACTTAAGTGGATCAAAGCTATAAACAGAAAAACTTTGCATAAACAGGTGTTTGTATGGTCTTGACATTTTTTTCTGGATGGTGCACCGACTGCACACAATCCGTTATTTTAAATAAAACGTGTAATGAAAGTAAAATTACAATGGCAGACGAATGTTGGCACGTCGTGAAACGACTGTAAAAAACTTAAATTAATCTATGAAAATTAATCCGATGACTACAGTGCATCTGCCTCTTTTTGTATAGAAGATCCACACATCAGATGCGAATCCAGGATTTTGAAGGGGGGCCGCGGACCCCCAAACTAGACAAAATTTGTAATGGAAGCGGTAGAAAGTCTGGATTAACCATAAATGGAGCTTCATAAGGGGGGCAGGCACCCCCCCCCCCCCCGAAATCCGCCGCTGCACAATTCTTAAGATAAAAACAATGAAACCTACCCCGAGGCTATACATGTAGTTTTAATTGTAAGCAAATCAACCCAGTATGAAGAGACGAACTTTTTTATTCATGGCACATTCCGACAACATCAACTCAGACAAAATATTGTTAACAGAGGAGTAAGGAGTTCAAAATTAAATAAAAAGGGGAACCACGTCAGCGTATAGAAATATTATGAATGACAGTGACGCCTTATTGTATACTTATGTTACTAAGTTTTCTTTACTTTAGTGGAATTACTACACAAATTTAATTTACAATTGCGATATAGCAGATTAGCTGTTGCTCGATCGTACTGAGGAGGTTAACACTTAGTTTGATATTTGGTTATTTTGGACGGCGCTTTCATATTTCGAAAAGTAAGGCTTGTAAAATATTTTATTCCTAGGTGCCAGTTCTTGCTGAAACCTTAAAGGTTTTACAAACAGCTGCGTCCATAGACAAATCCTAGCAAAACTTACCATTAAGGGCCCTTTTCTATAAGCCTCATCTTAATGGTCCATATATACGATATATGTAGGCCTGTGTCTCGAGGCCTATGTGCTTAAAGTATATATTCACTTTACTTTCTGTATACGACGTATACAGTAACTTCTGTTGTAACTTGATTTGAACTTTCCTCATCAGTAGATTATTCTGTGCATAAATTATAAAAATTTTACGCATTAGAAAGGATTTTCAAAGGTCTTGGTAATCAAATAGTGTACTAGAACCTACGGACCACAAGCACAAAACTCCCGTCTCTGTGAAACAGTTTATCATCAAACGGTACATGTCTTTAGGTATATTTTTTCAGCAGAGACAAGTAACCGCGCGTCGGAGAAAACGGGCTGTCGAATGATAGGACCGTTGGATTAGAGGATTGTTGAATTTTAGGACTGTCTCATTAGATTGATTATAGGTTTGACCACAGAAATTTCTATGATTTGATAAAATTGCACCTGGTTTTTCTAATATATCACATTCGACCCGGCAAGACATTTTTTTTTATTTATGTATGTGTTATAATAATCAATATTATGATTACCAAATGATTATAATCGATATGTAACCCCGTTTGTTCTCCTCTTGGTGGGTAAAGTCTTTTGTCTCGGTTGTTGCTGTCTTGTTGATGGTAATTATCTGCACTTTTCATATTCTTTTTTATTCGAGCGCAATTGATTAACCTCATGTAGACGAATCGCACAACTTGTGAACTAAGTTATGTCGTTGTTGATTTTTAACTACTGGGTCGATACCACTGTTGGGGATCGTTATGTCCCAATGAATGTTACCATTCAAGTAGTCATTCCGTAAATTAACTGATCATGGAATGTTGAAAAAAAAAACATTCAAAAGACGAAGGGTTTTATACGAACACTAGTTGACGGAACGTTTGGTTTTCAATGCTCTAAATTTTTTAATTGATTTAACATTCCAGTAGTTCGCGGGTAAGTTTCTATGAATCAACTGTTAATAAAATGTAAAAATCATTCGAAACTTTTATCCAAGGCCTATAAACGACCTTAGTAAAAGTAGGTACAACTTTTGGTTTTCAAAGCTTTTCAACTTCGTATTAGTTTTGCGAGATGAGTCTTATGAAGACGAAACGCGCGTCTCGCCCCTAAATTATAAGCTTAATGTATTTTATGAGTTTTTGCAACAGCTGCATTTCCGATATTCACAAAGCGCTGGCATATAAAATAGATTTCGGAAAAAAAGCGGTCTTTAACATCACTATATCGTTTATTTCTGGTATATGAAGTTCTAGGACTATCAATCGGATTTCGATTTATAACAATCTAACTGTATTAGCTCCAGTATCAAAACAGGTTAGAAACTGATTAAGAAAGTTTTTTTTTTCGTTTCAGAAATTCCTGAAGAATTATGCAAAATACCGCAAAAACCGTTTGATAAGATAATGCATTATTTAATGGAGCAAGGGAAATGGATACGAATATATCAACTGGTAACAAAGCATAACAGGGTGCATGGCATACAGAGTCTTTCTGGATTTGCATCTGAAATACTTATTGAACAACTAATTTCTCACCTAGTTAAAGAATTTCCAAATGAAAAATCTTCAAACTTAATTGAAAGGGTAGTAGAGTGTTTTCTCCGGAATGGTGGTAGAGTAGACCCAGGTAAAGTTTACACATGTGACAAACACATCCAATGTAAATAATTATGAAATTATAATGTCATACGATAACTTTTATACATGAACACTTTTTTCAATTGCAGGATTTATAATACATGTAGGTAAAAAATTTGCATCAGTATTCACCTCTGAAGCTAACAAAACCTTTAAATAGACTTTTTAAGAAGGGATATAGTTACGATACTGTTGTCAGGTCATTAAAGATTGCATATTTTGGCGTTAATATTGATTCACTTATAGGGTCTTTGCATCGGCACTAAACACATTTATTTAAAAACCAGTTGTTGGCATGACACGGGTTATGTTCTTCTCATATATGTTATGATGGTATGATACTAAACCCCTAACGGGAAGGATTGTGCCTGATATTCATATGATGAAGACATAATCTTTCAATCAGTTTAATTGAAGTCTGGAGCTGGCATGTCAGTTAACTGCTAGTAGTCTGTTGTTATTTATGTATTATTGTCATTTTGTTTATTTTCTTTGGTTACATCTTCTGACATCAGACTCGGACTTCTCTTGAACGGAATTTTAATGTGCGTATTGTTATGCGTTTACTTTTCTACATTGGCTAGAGGTATAGGGGGAGGGTTGAGATCTCATAAACATGTTTAACCCCGCCGCATTTTTGCGCCTGTCCCAAGTCAGGAGCCTCTAGCCTTTGTTAGTCTTGTATTATTTTTAATTTTAGTTTCTTGTGTACAATTTGGAGTTTAGTATGGCGTTCATTATCACTGAATTAGTATACATATTTGTTTAGGGGCCAGCTGAAGGACGCCTCCGGGTGCGGGAATTTCTCGCTGCATTGAAGACCTGTTGGTGACCTTCTGCTGTTGTCTGTTCTATGGTCGGGTTGTTGTCTCTTTGACACATTCCCCATTTCCATTCTCAATTTTATAACATCTTTAACTAAATCTAAGAAAAAGGGGTACACGGCATTAATTCATGACACTCAATCACTTTATCAAGTTAAAAAAAAAAAATTAGAACAAATTGATGCTGTCTTTCATCCCAATATAACATTAAAACCTTCAACACAGAGCAGAACACAGAAAGTTTCAGATTGCACTTAACACCAATTTGAACGGATTTTTTTTATGTTGATAACAATACATCCAGTCATTAATTATTGTAATAGTGTGTAGTAGTAACATATTACAAAAAATCACGAATAATAAAAGTCACTTAAAACTGTAACTATTTACCCGCTAACTCATTGTAAAATACAGAAGTATTACAACTACTGGCCACACAAAGAAATTACCGGTCCAGAAATGCTTCACAGCATGTTCCTCTGCCCAACAGCATGAATGGTTTAGGACTGCATTTTTGTTTCTTCAATAAACATCGCCATACACATTCATAGCAAGATTTTTAGAAAGCTTAATTCTCTTTAAAAGAAATGTGTTGTATGTAGTATGCACCAAAAAGTAAGAAGATTTTAGAAAGGACGATATAAAAAGTGACAAAATAAGAAAATATAAAAAAAAGACCAAATAAAACATATCATATAAAATAAGACTGAGCAAAATTAAATTTAGCATAACCATTAACATGGGATAAAGTCAGATGATTGGAAGAGTAACTAGTGTTTCCTGTTCCACTAGTAAATGCCAATCATGGTATTGCTTATGGCATGTAGTATCCGATTATAATACACATTCAGTGACCGAAAGCAGCAACAATCTATCATGGAAATCATATTAGGAAACCCAAAGTTTTATTGTGTATCATTACTATGATATTCTATCGTTGACCTTTTTTCATTTGTTTTTTTTTTTATTTTATTTTTAGGTGGTCAGATTTGTATAACAAATGCAGTTGAAAGACAGTGGTATAACTTGCTCAATACACTGATCTGTGACTATAATTGTGATCCTCAATATTTAAATATTGATTCATGCATTATTCCTATTCATTCTGCACTAATTCTAGGATTGCATAAAGATCCAGGTTAGTATACTTCTTATAATTCCAAGCTATATACTCGTTTGTTTGCTGATATATGCAAAGTAAAGTTTGATTTCTAAACGAAAACTTTAGGTTACACTTCTGTAAATACAGACAATGCAATTTTCCATGAGAACTCATTTTACGGCTAAAAAAGGGACGAAAGATACCAGAGGGACAGTCAAACTCATAGATCGAAAACAAACTGACAACGCCATGACCAAAAATAAAAAGACAAACAGACAAATAATAGTACAGATGACACAACATAGAAAACCAAAGACTAAGCAACACGAACCCCACCAAAAACTGGGGGTGATCTCAGGTGCTCCGGAAGGGTAAGCAGATCCTGCTCCACATATGGCACCCGTCGTGTTACTTATGTTATTACAAATCCGGTAAAAATTCTAATTCGGTAAGTCACATTCGTGAAAAGGGAGGGTATTGTAGTTACGACATAAGGAACATATCCGATATCATCTGTGAAACGGTTATTCCATAACGGTCAACCAACTCGTGATGGCGTCCGTAAAATTTACGAAGGGATGACATCAACTTCACCATTTGGAACTCTTGGTTTAATAGCTTCCTTGTGAGCAGCAATCCTCTATCAAGCAAATCATGATAGGAAACACAAGCCCGGGAATATCGTATCAATTGGGAGATATATACTCCGTATGCAGGCGCTGCTGGAATGTTGCTACAGAGAAATGGAAAGTTCACAATTGGGAAGCTGAAATCATCTCTTTTGTCGTAAAGTTTTGTTTTCAACCGACCCTCATTGTCAATTTCTAGATGTAAGTCAAGATATGAGGCAGACGTAACTGTATCTGTAGTATCCTTTATCTCTAGTTCGATGGGATAGATTCGTTCAACATAGTCACCAAATTTTGTATTATTTAAACTGTGCCACTTTTACTATGAAGTTTAGTAACTCCTGCATACGGAGTATATATCTCCCAATTGATACGATATTCCAGGGCTTGTGTTTCCTATCATGATTTCCTTGATAGAGGATTGCTGCTCACAAGGAAGCTATAAAGCCAAGAGTTCCAAATGGTGAAGTTGAAATCATCCCTTCGTAAATTTTACGGACGCCATCACGAGTTGGTTGACCGTTATTGAATAACCGTTTCACAGATGATATCGGATATGTTCCTTATGTCGTAACTACAATACCCTTCCCTTTTAACGAATGTGACATACCGAATTAGACTATTTACCGGATTTGTAATAACATAAGCAACACGACGGGTGCCAAATGTGGAGCAGGGTCTGCTTACCCTTCCGGAGCACCTGAGATCACCCCCAGTTTTTGGTGGGGTTCGTGTTGCTTAGTCTTTAGTTTTCTATGTTGTGTCATCTGTACTATTATTTGTCTGTTTGTCTTTTTATTTTTGGCCATGGCGTTGTCAGTTTGTTTTCGATCTATGAGTTTGACTGTCCCTCTGGTATCTTTCGTCCCTCTTTTAGTAAAAAATTATATCCTAGAATTGAAAGTTCATATCCACTACTATTTTTTTCAAAGGTCAAAACATAGGGCTGTGCGGCATATTTTCAACATTTATATGCCCCGAACTTCCAAGAGTTTAAACTTATACTAAAATTCTGCACTACTCCTCCTTTCACTTTGAGTCTTCCTCAGAATTCAATTTAGCCGCTATCCATTTGTATTTATACTGGTAACATTCCCAAGTTATGTCTCTATTAGATGAAACATAGAGATCATATGTTGGAACCAGTACGTAAACAAAACAAAATATCTATGAATATTATATATCTCCCCAAAAGAGGCGTGATTTGTGAAGCAGCTGTATTTACAAAGTGCAACCTTTACATATATATTTGACATAATTATACGTATATACAACAGAATATCACAATTATAAGCATATTATTGTCCATTCATTGCCAATGCTATTTATTTATGAATTAAATGTGTATTTTGTTATATTACAGGAAACTTCTCTGTTTTAAAAATATGTATGAAATTGTATGCTAAAAATCCAGATAAATATGCGAGATTGGATCCAAAGCAACGTGACAGAAATGGAGACACACTTTTCCACTTAGTCGTAAAAGAAACATGTAACACCCAATTGAAGCAAGCGGCTGAATTATTACAACAGAAACATGTACCATGTAAAGTACAGAACAAGGACGAAAGATTACCACTCGATTATCTTAAAGCCAGCGATCCTCGTTACAAAATTCTCCATAAAGCAATGGAATACGACACAAGCCAAATGAAAATTGTTGAAAAACAGAAAAAGTCAAACGATGAGCGTACAATATACCATCCAATCGTAGAGATAAGAAAAGAACCTTCGGTTTTGAAGATAGAACACAGGAGAGACGAACAGAAGCATGACGACAAAACTATTGACAGCAAACCCCCAAAACAACCAAAAATAACAAATGAATCACATCTTTCACAAATTCAAAAGCTGATAGATTCAATTAGTCCGAAACAATCCGTATTGGAACATTCAAGTGGGGAATCGTGCAAAGAAATAATTGTAAGTTGAATTTTATATGTTTTCATATCAAATATGATTAAGGATCGTCTTTGACCACTATCTATAGTGACTATTTCACGTATGTATCATTTTATGTAAAAAAAAATATTGTATGCCAATGGGTACTAATTGTTTTCCACCCTTATTGGCTGATTTGTTTTTTATTCTCATATGAAACAAAATTCGTACAAAACCTTTTCAAAGACAAAAAAGTTCTTTAGTTTCATTTTCAGATATATTGATAATATTATGTCAATCAATAACCAGCATTCCAGTGAGTGCTTGCATCTCATATACTGAATTAAACTCGAGATTATGCTACTACCGTAACTATAAGGTCTGCTCTATATCTGTATCTTTTCCTTAATATTGACACAGATAGATGAACGACTTCAAACTACAATCTATGAGAAACGTGATGATCACAACTTTCCAATTGTCAACTTCCAATTTCACAGCAGTAATGTATCATGTACTTCATTGTGTGGCATGTTACGTTCTTGTATGTTCGTGAAAGAACAACTGAAATACATTTGTGTCGCAACTCAATAGCAACATGACATCGAAGTCTTAGATCTTTAGAAACCATTATAGTCGTCTGGTCTGTAATTTTGCAGATTGTGGTGTTTTGACTGAATGCGGATTAGCATGGTAGGTGATGCATGTATTGCAGAAGACGCTTTACCTATCGATGCACCCGGTCTCGCTCCTTTTGGAGGTCATGTGATCTCCTCAGTTTTTGTCTGTAACCTCTTCTTAATAGATTTATGAGATTTGAACATCGGCAAACTACTGTTGCCTATATTTATGTCTACATGTTTTACCGGCTGATGCGTTTTCAGATTCATCCTTTATCACATTCATGTTAACCGAATACTTATATATTCTTACACATAATGGTTATGTTTGAAATTTCCGTCGAATTTTTCTAGGGAACTAGAAATGAGAGCTTTCCGAAATTTGCTATCAGGTTTCATGTGAATACGCTATGCCGTGCATTACATTTTCATATCAAACAATCTCCTGTAAAAACAAAAATTTAAGCAGGTGTATCAGTAGTGCGTTATAACTCACAATTCTTGTGTTTGTCGTCGTCATTTTGTCGGTCTATTGGCGACTTATGAGTATTGGTTCTCCTTTTGATATATTCTGCCTGTGTTGTTAGTAATTGTGTCATTGACGTATACCGCAGATACCTTGTTAAGGAACATTTTTATATCAATTTTGATTATACGATCCAAAGCACATACCACAAACAAAGGAAGTATGTTTAGAGTCATTATTTGGGCCCTGAAATTGTTCAAATAGTGAAAATACTTAATCCTGTCAAAATTACACCGAGGGTATCACCAGCCCAGTAGTCAGCACTTCTGTGTTGACATGAATTATCATTGAAATGGTCATAATTATAAATCAACTGTTCACAAAACGTTGAATCTTTCGAAATACTAAGGATTTTTTACCCAATGAATAGATTACCTTAGTTGTATTTGACAAACCCTTTCAAAATGTTAGTCCTGGTATCTGTGATGAGCTTATTTATGTTGATATTAGAATACTAATAAATATAATGTACAATCATAACACGTAAGGAATATCAGTCGCATTGGTGTCATAAAAAAATAGCACTTTAAATTATCTGCGTCCAAAGCGCTTTACTAGATTTACCGTCATCATGAACGCTTAACCTTAATTATTTGAAAGCCAGGGGTGTATACATACGGCGAAGCTTTAGAAATTATATGACCAAAAGAGACCAAATAGAATAACCAAATTTATCCAAGGTCAACTATGCTTGAAGGAGTTGGAACCTTAGTTTCTTTGTAATTTTTCAACAGAACATGTTGAAATTTACATATTGGATCAACATTGGTCATTTACATATAGTTTACATCTTAAATGAGAATAACCGAATTTATTTATGTGCATTTTAAAGATGAGTTTATAAAATTTAGAACAGACCGTTGATGAAATAAAAATGAAAGTAGTTATGACGTCAGAAGTTTTTGTCGTAAAAATGTATACATTTCGATCACTCTATTGTTTAAGAGCCTAAAAAGCGCAAACAAGAAACTTCCAAATAATATACCACATTGTTTGCCTATATGAACGATACTTTTATTTCAACGATTTATTTGTTTCTTGTGTACGTTCAGGAATTATGACCCGAACTGTTCGTATATCCGCCCATCAGTCTGTCTGTCTGTTACAAGTTTCTATAGCTTTTTTTTCAGGAACTACATATCAGAGCTGGAAACAAATCTTTCTATTGGTATGCTTTACCGTTTGGCAAATGATTTTTTTAAACTCTTTTCCAAAAAATTACATTCATTCTGTCGATTCGCTCATGTATGTCACAATGTATTTGATTTTAACTAAATAAATCTCTGTATTACTGAAATCTTATTACACCAGAGTTTTCGATATCACTAACTTGTTAAAACATTTACTAAATTTTATCATCGGTACAAGGACATCATTCGTAAATATAAATCATCTTACACGTTCAGGTTTTTCACATCCCATCTTTTATGGTAATATTCTATACATCGCACAACAATGTCGTCATTCACATCAAAAGCTAACCAAACTTAAACAGACTTATTTAAAAGGGATAGACGATACTGTTGTCGGGTCATTAAATATGGCATTTTGGGAATTAATATTGATTCACTCATAGGGTCTTTTCGGATATAAACACATTTATTCTAAAATAAGTTTTTGGCATGATAGGGGTTATGTTCTTCTCGTATATTTTTATGATGGTATGATACTAAACCCCTAACGGGAGGGATTGTGCTTGATTTTCATATGATGAAGACATAATCTTTCAATCAGTTAATTGAGGTCTGGAGCTGGCATGTCAGTAACTGCTAGTAGTCCTTTGTTAATTTATGTTGATTATTGTCATTTTGCTTACTTTCTTCTGTTACCTATGCTAACATCGGACTCGGACTTCTTTTAAACTGAGTTTTACTGTGCGTATTGCTGTGTATTTGTTTATTCCACGTTGGCTAGAGGTATCGGGGAGGGTTGAGATCTCACAAAACATGTTTAACCCGGCCGCATTTCAGGAACCTCTGGCCTTTGTTAGCCTTTGATTTTTTTTATTTTGGTTCATTTATATGTTTTGGAGTTTAGTGTGACGTTCATTTTCGCTGAATTAGTGTAAATTATTGTTTATGGACCAGCTGAAGCTGTGTTGAAGACCCATTGGTGGCCTTGTGCTGTTTTCTGCTCTTTGGTCGGGTTGTTGTCTCTTTGACACATTCCCCATTTCCATTCTCAATTTTATATCTAACACCTTGATTTGTCTATTTGTATTTCCTAATGTATTTCTTATGAATGAACCGTATCATATTGAAATGTATAGCCTTTGTATCTTTCCTTCAATAAATGCTTTCAACTGGATTAATTATTGGGTGATAATTATATACTATTTCCCTTTTAGCCGGAAACAATACCTGTAGGCAGTGAAGATGAATCAGAAATTGACCAGATGGAGTTGGGTGTAAGTTAAAATATACACTTGGAGAATTAGATTAAAAAATCGTTCAAGAGCAACACACACAGAAATAAAACAGCAAAAAAGTAGAAAAAGCCAAGGAACACTTGTGCATCTGAAGAATAACATTAGAATTTAACAAACTGAACATTTCTTGTTATCTTAAATATCTCGAGCATAAAAGCTCATAAATCCAACACAAATAAAACAACAATCTGCAAAATAAAAACAAACGGGCACAACTGATCGTGCTACACGAAAAAAATTAAACCTCAAGATTAAATAATTCACTTATTCAATATCCATTCAAAAACACTGTGTGAATATGGATATGAATTGTTTGAATTTACTTATCCTTGATACTTTTGATAAATTATTATCTCATCACTTGGTGTTCGTCGTCCCTCATAAAATGTTTCTAAAAACCCATACCAAGAAGCCAAGAAGTAAACACTTTTCCTGAGTCATTCTTAGTCAGTCTCTTTTATACGACCGTCTAAGACGGGACATATTATAGTATACCGTTGTCCGTCTGTCCGTCCGCCTGTCCGTCCGTCCGCCTGTCGTCAACACTTCGGATGATAACTCAAAAATACTTTCACCAATTTTCATGAAATTTTGGTTAATTGTTCATATCTATTGACGTAAGCTCCATTTCGATTTTTATAGATTTTAGAATTACGTTTCCGAGTTTTATTAATAAAAAAAGGGGGGATTTTCCAGTTTCGGACAATAACTCAAAAATGCTTTGAGCAGTTTTCATGAAACTTTGGTGACTCGTTTCTATCAATGGAAGTAAGCTTCCTTTTGTTTTGAATAAATTTCTGATATGACCTTGCGGAGTTATGGATCTTTATTCTTCGAAAAATCGTTAATCACAGTATTTCTAGTTGATCATTTAAATTCATTTAAAGCATAAAGACGAGCTAAAAGGGCGACGGGCGTAGCATGCGTTCATGGTGCAGCTCTTTATGTAAAGGTTGTGTTTTTGCAGCATCAGCAACCTCGCTACCGTTAACAAGAAACAGATATAGGCGTTAAACACATATAGAAAATCCTATTAAAATAATACCAATATGGAATTTAAAAAAAAAACACATTAGTATGTTTATATAGATATTCCTGTAAATATTAGAATGGTTTTTAGTCCTTACTAGTAGTTGCTTATTTGGTAGCATCAGATAACATGTTAGCTCAAATTTTAATTTTACCTCCTTGCAACCTAAGCACGTCCCTTGGACTATGACAATTTAATAAAACTTACTCTTTCGTCAACAGCAATAAAACCTCCTTGTAGATGTTGGAGTGATTTTTAATACATCTTTTTTCTGCATATTTCCGAAAAAGATTTTACTAATATGATACACTAGTAATGCAACACTATGCGACTAATATATACATTTTGCAACATTATTTGTTTTGTTTTAAGAAATGTAATTATATGAAGAGCATAAAATAAATGTGTAGCCAACTTTTGACCTTATCATAGCCAGTAGACTAACGG